ACTTGGAACATAAGTATGAGTCTTGGAACGCAAATCCGGGCAAATCGCAGCTGGAAATACTCGAATCCGCCGATAACTTCACTTAATACGCTGCAAATTACATTTTCTAATGTACTGAAATTCTTTGTAGGAAATAAATTTTTGAAAAATACTCCAAATCGTCTACAGAGGTTAGTCACATAAAACACGTGTTTATTTTCATTCGATATCTGCTTGCAAGATGCACAAAATAGTTACATTCTTTTGTTTATTCAAAAGCAGTATTGTTTTAGATATTCATATACGAATGTTTTTCGATGCTCTAGATTACAAAAAAAGTAGATATTAAGTGATCGATTACCAGTTCGAGCTAATGCAAAAATTAGTAAAAATAGAAGTTGAAAAGAATATATGTAAAAAATGTTTACAATTCTAATGTCTGACCTAGTCATTTCCTTATCAACTATATATGAAAAATGTATATAAGACATTTGTTTTTTTTCTTATTTCAACTGTGGAAAAGATATTTTAATTTACTCAAAAGTCACGTCAGTATATAAACATCTTCTTATATATTCTATAAATATTGCATTTTCTTCTTTCTTTCATATAGATATACGTACAGATACTGGTAGCCGGTTTTTATCGTGATTATGTAAAACAATCGACATTTGTATCATTCATTTATTTTAGATTATTAGTTGTTATCTTATTTTTCTTTGTGGAATATCATGCTGTCCAGTATGTGTAATCGAATTCACTTTGTAGAATTATTTCCAACTCGTTGGAGTTTCCTTATTTTCATTACCTACATGGGTCTTTTTATTAATCAAGGTATATTTCAATTGTTAACTTTAATTTAATTGTTATATATTATATATAAAGGACTCTTGATCACTGGATCGAAGACGTCGACACATTCATACAAGTACAATACCATTTCCGTTGTATTGTTAACCGAATTAGTGAAGTTAATTGCTGCTATTATTATTTATCGACAAACGTGAGTAGAAGCAAAATTCATCGAAATATCTTGTATTTTCTTGTAGACATTCATGGAGTCAAATGCGAAAAGAAATCACTGAAAATCGAACAGGTAATGACTGTATTATGATAGAAACAAGAGTGTGAGTGTGAGTGTTTCAATAAAACGACTACAACTCTCGTAGGAAGATCTAGTAGCCCTCATGTTTTTGAAGTTTGTCATAGGTCATTGGATCTACTGATTTGTTTTAGAAACAAACATAGTTTGTTATTTTTAGTATTCTTCCTTTATCTGGCTCCAGCGGCACTCTATTGTCTGTACAACAATTTAGCATTTCTCAATTTATCTTCGTACGATCCAACAACATATTTTCTTCTTCTTCAATTTCGTGTTGTAGTTACTGCTGTTATTTTTCAAGTAATTATTCATATTCGATATTAGTATGTAATGTGTGTCTTCCTTGAAAAGTTTCTCTTTAGTAAACGTCTTACATGTATTCAATGGATCTCATTATTTATTCTCACTTTCGGTTGTATCATAAAACAATTTGAACATTCATCAACATCGACAATTTTAGTTTCAAAAAATACAACAGAAACCGAGCCATTAATAACAATTGGGCGAACAATAGTATTACCGTCATTTACAGATATTCATTTCATATGGATGCTGGTACAAGTATTTTGTTCTTGTTTTGCTGGTGTTTACACTGAATATTTGCTCAAAAATGATCGAAGTATACAAGTTGATATTATGCTTCAAAATACGTTCATGTATACGAATTCAATTCTATGTAATATTGTTCTTTTGATACTTTTCGAAGAACAACAACCGTCTATGACAACTACCAACAATTTTTTTAATACTCTTAAATCGATTATTTCTGGGCAACAACTACTTGTTCCACTAATTATACTTAATAATGCAGCTATCGGTCTTGTTACATCACTTTTCCTTAAATCAATGAATTCAATCTTGAAGACATTTGCTAGTGCCTTAGAGCTTTTCTTTACAAGTATTTTGGCATGGCTTATTTTTTCCATACCAATTAGTGGCAGTACATGTTTAGCAATTATCATTGTTTCTACTGCTGTTTATCTTTATTCAACTAATCCAGTTGTTAATTTACCAAAAACTAGTGTAGAAGAAGAATCAACAGTCATCGAAACTATAACGACAAGCAAAAACTGATATATTATCGAATACCCATGAAAATAAACGATAGTTAATACTCGGTTCATAGATTAGTCCCAATTCCTTGTCGCTCAATTTTTATTAAACTAAATATAATAAAAATCGAAGATTTTCTGGCTGAAGTCTTCACTAGTTCTTCTTGATTTTTAGTTTATCATAATAATGGATAGATCATAACGAACTGTATTAAAGATTGTTGTTAATGTGTGGGTGTGGTGGATATGACTGTATTCAGATATGAATGAAAGTTGGTCAATATTAGTTTTGACTTTCAACAGGAAATCAAAATTGATTTTGAACTCTTTCATTTATATGCATTATAATAAGACTATTAAGCTGATAAAATTACAATGTATACTTTTTTAAACTTCTAAATATGGACCTTGCTTTTGTGAAGAACGACATGCTGTATAAAAATAGATCAGCATTTTTTTCTAACGCTTAATTTTTTTGTTGCTAATATTATTTTCATCTTCATTCATATTAAGAATAAAATTAGCGTTATGTCATTATCTATATTTATTCAATAAAATAATGATATAGATATTATTAAGAAACATTTCAAATAGTTAACTTAGTGCCATTTCTAACATAAATAATACGATATTAGCTAATAAAAATTATATTATCAAAAATATTCTTTAGTTATTAGTAAATATACGAATTAAGTTTGATGCATAGATAAATATCTTCATGAAAATACTTATCAAAACTTATATTAATGAGCAGTATCTGAGCAATATGTTTATTTTTGTCATAACTACGTGAGCATTTGTGCCATGTTACAGATCAAATTCCTTTACTAGACTCTTGCCTTACAATCTGGAAAGATAATGAAAATTTCGACAAAAAATATACTTGAACGAGTATTGAAATAAAGGAAAACATATTAAAATGAGGCATTCTTTGGTTTACCGTATTATAAACTTTTTGTACGTTGTAATTATCTGAGAATTTTTCAACATAAGTTATGTGTGATATATATTTGCCCTCAGCCCTACGGTAGAAATCATGTAAAAGTTTATCTTTTGATCAATGTCTTTTTTACTTATACTCTCAATTATAAAGAATTTTTTTAATTATTAAGTCTTTGAAGAATAATTTATTAATGTTGTTCTCGATAATAATGTAATGTAGAGATTATCGTTAGATTTCAATATATATTTTCAATCTTTAAAAGGGTGACTTATGTTTAAAAAAAATTTCTCGTTAAAATTTACTGAATAAATATTTAAAAAAAACCAACAAATATTGGTAGTAATTTTTTTTCTTTCATACTTGCTCTTGCGACAAAGTATAACAGTATGAAAACTAAGCAACTATTTTTCTTTGGATGCCATAAAATAAATAAAAGAACAGTCATCATCATGATGAAAAGATTTTTTTCTTCTTTTCTCTTTAAAGTAACCTGACGTTAAAATTATAATTCATAAAAAAAAGTAATATCAATATGGGTAATAGTTCAAAAAAAGAAAAACTTACTGAAAAAACGATATCTTCAAATGAACCACCAGCAAGAGTAAATGCGAAAGAAGATGATAATATAGAAACAAACAATAATCCAACTGGATTTTGGTCTCCAGCATTTAATGAATATTGTTTTAGTGATTCACCTGATGATGTTAATAATAAACTTCCAGTACCATTTAGTACAGTTGAATGGATAACGTTAGCAATAGCTTATGAATATAAATTAGATGAAGTTCGATACTTTTTTGTTCGTCTTGATGCTTTTGATGAATTAACAAAGTTTTTTCCTCCACATATGTATGTATCACCATCAAGTTTTGTTTGTTTTATGTTTACAAAAAAAAATTATTTCGTATATCAATTCGATTACTTCATGATGATCGTGCTTTGAATTATCGAGATATAATTGAATCATATGCTCGTGCTGTTAATACACCACTTCTTTCTAATAAAATGTTTCATTATGAAGTTGAAAGAATATTTTATTATTCAAGTGAACAAGATGATCATACTGTTATTGAAACTATTGAAAAAGGACGAGTTTTTCCCGATGGACAAATGTAGAATTCATTTCCATCAGATAAAATTGAAAAAAAATCTTTTCATTCATCAAATTCAGATTATTTATATGATTTAATGATTAGTTATTCTCATCAAGATAAAGATTTGTGTCATAGAATTTATTCAAAACTAGTTGCAGATGGATTTAATGTTTGGGTTGATTTAGAAAATATGTATGGATCAACAATTGATAGAATGGCAGAAGCTATTGAAAATTCTCAATTTATACTTATTTGTATGTCTCAACGATATGAAACAAGTCCGTATTGTAAAACTGAAGGACAATATACTTATAAATTACAACGTCCATTTATACCTCTAGTTGTCGAAAAAAATTATAGACCAAAAAGTTGGTTAGGTGCATTGGTAGGACTTCGAATGTATATAGATTTTACTAAATATGATTTTGATGTTGCTTACGATAAACTTCGAACAGAAATTCAAAGAAACAAATCACAAAAATAAATAAATAAATAAAACTCTTTTCTTTAAAATTTCATTTAATGTTGTGTTGTTGTTATATAAATACTTATATATATATTCGCTATATACAAAATTATTTTCTTCATGTTATTTATCTTTTCGGGAAAACAGAAGCTTTATATATAATACAGATTTATATGATTGAGAAAACATGTTTAATAAAAATTATCGAAAAAAATATGTCTCTTCTTAAAGACTAAGTTCAAGCGAAATTAAGAATGGGTACAAAATCAAACAAATCAATGTAAAAGAACGAAAAAAAAGAGCTGAGACAGCGTTGCATGTAAAGTTTGAAATAATAGAATATGATCCAGGCGAGACAATATAAACTCCCAAATAACTACCATTTCTTGCAATCTTATCCACTCCGTGCACAGAATTGTCATAAAATGTCACAGACAAACGATTTCCATTCACAATTATGCAATTATTTTGTGTAGGTACATATACGACACCACTTGTAGAACGAGGAATATTGACCACAATTCTGAATTCAATATTACTATTATTCCAACCGACTGACATAATCCCATAAGGTGTACAAACAGTTCCAGCAACCCATGTAAGATTGCCTGGTTGAGGACGAATCGACCATGTAGTATATCCAGCAGACAAAGGTTTTATTCCAAGTACATATTTGGACAGAATAGCAGTTATTCCTGCGCTCCAAGTATGTGCCATGCTTGTAGATGCCCCAGGATAGCCACTAGGACGTTCTGATTCCCAAAATGTGCCGGTGAAGTAAGGTCCTGGTTGAACCATAGGTGACCAAACAGATTCAAGCACATCAAATGCGAGATCACTTCTATCTTGTTCAAAAGCTGCTGCTGCATGAAAAAAAGAAATGAACGGTGAAACAATAACCGAAGAACTCGCAGGAATTCCATCGGAAGTGATAGATAGATATCCGGAGCCGCTAGCAACCGACACACGTAGCTTTTGTTTCATCTGCTCAAGCAGTTGCTGTGGTACATTGGAGTTCAAATCCGATGCAATGCCAGACAGAATGGCCAATGAATTGGTATCTTGAGCTAAGCCAACAGTTTGCTGATCAGAAATCATGTAAAAGTTGGCAGTAGAGTTGTAGAGATACGTGTTCACTGCAGTTCGTATAGCAGCAGCTTGTCGACGATACTGGTTAGCTGCAGTGACATTGCTAATAGCATCAGCCAAAGACGCCGCGTTATCTAATGCCATAGCATAGAGTATATTCAATTTCGTAAACTTCCCATTGTATGTACCATATGAAGGATTATAATCGTAGCCCCATACTGGGTATGAGGTAACAACGAGATTATCCGTATCAACTAGTTTTGAAAAAAAGTTCATCAACAATTGCATCCGCGGCCATTGATTGTGTACAAATTGAATGTCACCTGTATAGAGATAGTATTCGGCCACACTAATAATGTTTGCGAGAAAATATGTGTAACTGTAAAAGATTGGCGAAACGAATTCGTCGCTGGGATTACTTTGTTGAAGGGGAAATCCAACATTAATTCTCGATGACACTGGTCCATTCATCAACTGATAACTGTTTAAAATTGCTAGTGATCCAGCTGCATATTCAGGCTCATAAAAAGAATAATAAAGCACTGGACCAGCCACTAATATATCTCCGGACCACACGTTTCGATCACGTTTCGCACCATCGAGAATAACAGGCAATTCATTCGTGCCCACACCAAAATCAGACACCGCTTGCTGCGAAGTAAGTGAGTCTTGATATAGAATGACTCCGAAATTATCAGGAGAGATGTCGATCACTTGGAGATCACGAAAGAATGTCTCTTGGCTATTTGAAGTCGTGAAAGCAATACCACCAGGTGTTATAGAAGGTACGTAAGGACTTGAAGACTCAGGTATAGGAATAGTAAAAGTGGTGGCGCCGTTAATCGAGAGTTCAATTGTCAAACCTTGAACTATAGCTTTGATATCGTACCATGTCAGAAGAGAGATATTAAGAGGTAAAGTTGCATTGTAGATGTAGGAATCCGGAGGTGGTAATTCCTGTCGCGTATTGACTACTAAAGTATTCGGATTGAAATGCTCTTTTGAATTAATAGTAATAAGAATCTCGGAATAGTCATTCGAACGCAGAGCAAATGAGGTTCCACCACTCATAATCATTGTCGAAAATATGACTGTATAATTAACCCATTGCATGCCTCGTAGATAGACGCCAGCTTGGTTTGCCGTTAGAAAAAAGCCTTGATTGGTAGCAAGAAATCCTGGAGGTGTGATGCGAGGAGGAATCATGTTAATTTGTAGAGTACGGGCACCCATTCTCCACATATCAGTATATAATACCGAGCTGCACGAAAACGATCCAGGTGCCGAAGAAATTTCCTTTGTGTAGTGCGTCGATTTGATGCCTAACTTACTGATTCGTATACTACCCCCATCGGTTAACGCTAAACGTTGATATCGCTGAGCACCTTGAATGAGAGGACTTTCAATATGACCACGATTTATAATATCATAACTTTTGACACGATAAGGATCGAATGAACGTATCAGCGGATAGAATTCCATATCACCATCGACTACATTGGGTAATGCTTCCGAATAGGATACTCGAAGTGAAGAATTGCCAGTTACTTGATCAATATCGAAAAAAGGGAGTCCACCGACGTTCTCGCCATAATCAAGAATGACATAAGACATCGAAAAATTGGAGTATGTGAGGGTGATAGGAAATGTATTGTTGTTGGTAATCACATCATTAGTGTAATTAAATAATGTAGGAATATAAATTAGAGGTACATCAGAGATTGAAGACGGAATTGCCCATGAAAATGAAATAAAATGTAAGAAATAAACTACGTAGTTTAAATACATTGAGTATATATCTATAACAAAGAGAAAAGCTTTTTTCAAGTTTTGAATTTATCGATCAGTGCACAGTGACGTTCACAAGTTTTCATAACTGTGTCGTCGATGATAATACATTTTTACTTTAATCCCACTACGATTCTACCATGCGAGAAAAAGCGGATACAACAACACTGTTAAACTTTTATATTCGTTAACGATGTCCAAAGATAACGGCCCGACTTGAGAAGGGAAACTGAAATTCACTCAAAGTCAAGACTTCAACCGAACATCTAGGCTACAGTGGTGCGAGTCTAAAGGTAAAATGCTCTGAGAAGTTCTGAAATAGTTTCTCAGCCGTAGATCATAAACTATCTAAGAAAAAAACAACACTCACTACACTGAAATGCATCTTTCGATATCTATCTCATTCGAGTAGAGAAGAAAACGGACAACCAATTGTGTATCAGCAATATAGTCAGTGATCAACAAACGATTTTTCAAGTAGTAAAAGAAACGCATATTCTCGTTCGGTGTTGACATTCAGTAACAAAGCAGAAAATGTAAGAGTAAAGGGGAGAGCAGTTTAGCAGGAATAGAGGTACATACAGTATCGATGACGACCAGTACCTAACAGTAAGAATATACGTACTCATTTTCGGATGACTTATTGCGCACCGTGAGCTCAGAAATATGTAGAATGTTGAGAAAGATGAAAACAAAAACAATGACTAAGTACATTGTTGGCAAGAGTAAAACAACGAAATGTAAGTAAGTTTTCAGCACTTGAAAATGAATTTTCTAAAAGAAACAACTGGCAAGTATGCAATAGTCATAAGCACAAAATACCTACTAGCTACGACAATATCATTCAACTGGTACGTATTCTTTTAGTAAAGGAGAGTGACGTTCGTCTGTGTTAAAATGGATGCACTGCTGATAATAGAAAGGAAAAGAACCAGGTAAATTAGAAGCACAGAATACAGCAGAATGTGACAATGTTGCTCGGCTTTAAAAAGGAGATGGATGACTCATGCTCACCAGAAAAATGCATATTATGTCAATATCGCACGCTGTGTGTAAACTGATGACGCATATACGTAGAGTACGCACGGTAAGGACGCATATACGTAGAGTACGCACGGTAAGGACGCATATACGTAGAGTACGCACGGTAAGGACGCATACACGTAGAGGACGTACGATGGGAACACATTTCTCATTCTCACAATATCAAAAGAAAAAAATTAGTTTGTGTAACCAATATTCACAATAAAAAGTATTTGAGATAGAAGCAAAGTATTCAAGATATTTACAGTTCGAAAAAAGTACTATAATGTGCACTTTAAAATAGAAAACACAGCACAGAGAATTTTTTTTTAATCCTATATTAGAGGTCATTAGGCTTCCTCTTATTTATTTATTTTTGGTGTAGATAAATTTAAGGTTCATTAGCACTTTTCATTTTATCGAACTTATCATTGACATTTCTCTCACTTTTTTCTAGATTGTCGATGTTATTTTCGTCAGTTCTTTTTCATTGTACCTATGTTGATTTAACGTGTATATCTAATCTAGTTAAGATCAAGCACAGACTTCCTCGACTCCAGCTACTAAACAGCAACTCTTTGTGTATGAACAAAGATGTCCGAAAGCAACAAAAATCCGGTGAGAAATGATGAATTTTTCGAAAGATCCGCAAATCGTCGAAATTTTTTTGAATAAATTTTATTAGAGATCGTAAATTGTTAAAGAGTTTTCGAAAATGAGGAGAAAAGACAATTCTCGGAAACATTCGGTTTCGATACACATTTAATCATCGTTAAACATGTCAGAATCCGGAAGAGCCACTTTTTGCTGCTGGATATTTCATCTGAAATTTAATCTCGTCTTTCGAGGCATTTTCGTTTTATTTCAGTAATTTAATTACGTTGTAGTACATGTTTTCCATTCACAAAGCATTTTCAACGGCAATTATCGTTCTATGAAAGTTTCGATAGATGGAACCTTCGGAGATAATACGTCCCGTTTGAGCTCATATTTTGCTTATAGGTATAGCTTATAGTATAGATAAAAAACCGAAAAGGATTTTTGCCCAAACTCTGTTGTTGCTAAAATATTGTATTTTTAAGATATAGAGATATCCCATTCCTGTGGTCCCCTTCGGGAATATTGAAAAAACTCATTTTCGATATCCCTGAGCGGGACCACGGGAATGGGATATCTCTATATCTTAAAAATACAATATTTTAACAATAACAGAGTTTGGGCAAAAATCCTTTTAGAGTTTTTATCTACACTGTAAGCTATACCTATAAGCAAAATATGAGCTCAAACGGGAGGTATCACCTCGGAAGGTTCCCTCGTAAGTATCAGATGAATACGTAATAGATAAAAGCAAAACATAACTTTCAAGAATGAAACGTCGTAAAGGATTACCTTTTTTCTAGAAAATATTCCGATGGTGATATTGAACACGATTTTCAAGAAAGTTTATAGAAATTCAAAGGTGCCTTTTTTAATAGCTCAAAAATTAAAATTGAACTTTCTATTTTTTTGAATATTAATTTATCGAGAAAGTAGAAATTTGCTAACGAATTCATTTGAATGTTCGTACAGTTTTCTTCTCTATTCTCTACAATTTATATTTCTTATGATCCATATCTGTAGTACATGGCTTGATCCATTTCTACGTTTGGTTGACAAACTCAATTTTGGTCATTCTTTTTAACGAGAAATTCTAGAAATGGTATGCATTTTTACGACGGTAATTCTGACTAGCAGACATTTAGATACAAAACTATAACTAGATTTTAGTGAAATAAATATTATTAGCATGAAATAAATTTACAATTGATTAATATAAATCAAAAAATACATTTCGTGGTGGATAAAAGATCATGCTAAGCATAAGTGTCACCCGTTACATTATATTCAAATAATGAATAAAAAAAAATTTTCACAGTGAAATGATCTTTTTAGATAGATATTATGAAATACGCAATACTGTTTTCATAATTGGCAATAATTCACTAATATCTTCTGGTGATAATGCTCGCACTATATTTTTGCGCATTTCTTCCTGAAGTGTTTGCCATGAGATGACATGAACCATGAGTTTACTAAATAAATCGACTGCTTTTTCATATCCATGCATTGTTTCCATGTACTTCCACAATAGTTCTGTATAATAATTTTGTATACGATATACAGACATTGTGTCATTGCCTATGGATTCATCATAATCACCAGTTATTGCAGAACTTTTTGTAAGGATAAGTATAATAAGTGTTAATTCCATAATTTTTCGATCATACTTTACTATATGAAAAAATGAGGCAAAAATCTTTTTTGATTGCATGCACATATTATAACCATGAAGTACTTGAAAGAATTGTGTATTCCATGGCACATCAGAATCAGCTTCAATGATTTTGTCAGTTTCTGTATTATATGAAAGTGCACAGTTTATCCCAAGAATCGTAATAAGATTATATTTCACTAAAATAACTTTATCATCAATATTTAATTGATTAAATTCAGGTATTTGTTTGAAAAATGATAAAAGTCGCATGATTGCTACTGAATGGCTGTTGAGAATTTGTACAAAAGTTGTTGTATGCATGGATGGGTCCCATGGAAGACCATCAAGAGCCGCTAAGATACAAACAGACTAGGATGAAAAGAAAAGAAGATTAACGAAAATACTTGCTCACCGAATTCAATACGTTTTTGATAAGAATGTGATACAGCTTCTATGCATTCTAAATCTTCTGAATTGAGTAATGTTCGTTGTAGCTGAGACGGCAGAAGATCGTTAAAATCTGTGAGAAGAACATTTGTGTCTACCGATGTAAGTAACTGAGAATAATATACGGACAGATAAATGAAATTATGTGTTTTGAAGAATATTCTTACATCATCTGAAAATATGGATGCTGACAATTGACATTCTTGTTCATTCATTTTCGAGTTTGAATTCAACGCTAATTTTCTATTTTCGTCTATTCGACGTTGTTTTTCTGCTTTTTGTTCAACCTAAAACTTAGTTTTATAAAAGACATTTCTTTTTTTTTATTGCTACCGTCACAATTCGATCACATTGCATTCCACTATCAAAACACCTGGCTAAACGACAGGCTGAACAATCACGACGTGTTTCCAATGTTATTTTGCAATCACCTTTGCCATTACAATGGAGAGTCGTCTAGGTAGGAAAGGTATTATCATTCCGGTAGTCGTTAAAATTATATAGAAGACAGATGAGATGTGTGTTGTCCGTACTATTATGACCTGGCTTATGACATGTATTCGTGAGTAAAGTTTTCACAGAAGATTTTTCAAGTACTTTTCCATTTAAGAAAAGTTTTGAGTCTATTGATTCTCATTCTACAATCTATATTTTTGTTTTTAACTTGTAAAACATAGCTCCAGTTGTTTCTGAGCATCGAATCAGATATTTTTTTTAATATTTTTGTGAGAATAGTAATAAATCTGTATAAATTTCAAATCTTAATTGATGAATGTATACTAAAATTATTTTTCCCAATATGTACTGAATCAATTTCGAATAGTCAAATGCAAAGTATTCGTAGACATTTTAGTTTCGTGAATTAAATTACGAATACTATCGAACATTTATGCTTTTTGACAAAAAAGAATATTCACTTCGACTATTCGAAATCGCGTTCAAATCTATGCGAGATGATAGAAACATTATCGAGGATTACGAAATAGCGCAAATCTTATGTACTTGTTTTTCTGAAACTTACAAACTCTTTTCGAGCATTACGACGAAAGAAAGCTTTACAACTTTCACAGGTAATTGCACCAAAATTATAACTATTTGCTGATGATCCACAAACAACACAAATTAAAGAACCACTTTTTGGTTTATTCTTCTTTTCTGATGATTGTACTGTGCTCTGAAGATAAAACATTCTTTTTTTTCTATTAGAAAAATATAATACTAACCTGTTGATTAGATATTTTATTATTGTTACCTTCGGATGGAAGAACAATCTGTTCCAGTAATGACACATTGTTACTTTTTTCTATCTGATTAATGATACTTTCATCGACGGTAATAATCATTATTCGTTGTCGTTTTGAACTTGGACTTGGCGGTATGTTGGATGACATGATTTATTTTATTTCTTTGAAACGACTCAATTTTCCGAAGTAAGATTTTCTTAAGATAAAAAAGAATTCTTTACATAATAACAACTGGCTTAATTAAACAGAATATAACAGGAAACCAAAATGTCTCAAAAAATATTAAAAAAACTAAGTTTAATACAACATTGAATTTCATCCAATATAGAAACTGAATAATATATATATATATATGAAACATGAGATGAGTCATATATGTGAGTCGATCGACCAAAACAGATAATAGACAAACCGTAATAGTTAATGTTGTTTATCGGCACTGTTGAGTTCGAAAGTAAGTGATTTATAAATCAATATAAATAAATCGATTTATAAATTATAAATTTTTCAACGGAAAACTTAAAATAGTTATAAATATTTTTGGTATTTATAAATCTGTTTTTGATTTATAAATGCTTGAAAGATTTATAAATACCGAATTGATTTATAAATATAACTCGATTATAAACGAATATTGGATAAATAAGTGCGAGTATATTGTATAAGCACCTGCCCAGTTTACGAATTTTGGACTGATTGATAAACAAAAGTGATTCAATTATCTTTATCATTTTAACTTAAAATATGAGTATATAACATCCTCGTGGTCGAATATAATTTTACCAAATTTAAAAGCACTATTGTCACGAATATCTAGTAGACATTTAGACAGCTTCGAATTTCTAGACTTATCAATTTACCAATTTCGACCCTATTTATAAATCTCGACCGCATTTATAAACATTTTAAAATTTTTCGATCTCTGATAAATTTAAATTTTTGTCAAAATCATTTTAAACTCAACAGTGTTTATCGGGGATTTTTTATGAATTCTATGAGTTTGATTTTGTAAACTTATAATTTTATTAAGTTTTTTATATTTAATAAATCATATACTAGTGCAAACTTTGTATTAGTCCTTTCAATCTCAAATTATCTTTGCTAAAATGTAACTTTGTCAGGAAAATATGAGAACATTCCAGGACTTTTTCAATGAATGTCTATAAATTTCCTTTAGAAATAGTTAAACGAATTAACGTACATATAATCTGAATGAGAAATATTCTTCCAGTTCATAGTCGGTAATAATAAAATCAATTCATTTAATATTGATAACACTAAATATAAATTTACGGAACAATTAGTTAAACTATAATATAGTTAAATGATTGCAGTATATTTATAACATAGAATACAAAAAAGTGTATAAGCCGCTAGGACTCTGGTATTCGGAATCGATGCAGTAAACTGCATAGGATAATCTAGTTTCGAAGGAAAAAAGTGATTGAACACCTGGGCGACTTCCTTCGTAAGGAGAAGGTTTTCGAATGCAATTTGAAATTGTTAAAAGACGAAGCAAATAAAACGCATCTTGCTCACAAAATGAATACACTACAGATTTTAACATAGAAAGACAACAACAAAGTAAAGGAAAATTTTATCTACATTTACTATTAACCTTATCGTAAAAAATATAGTAATGTGTGGAAAACTAAGCTGTTTGCAAGATGTTAATTTATTTTTCTCTTTCATTAATATAAAACTACATTGATAGTTTGCTTCGATGTATAAAATACAATACGAAATTAATTTGGTCTTAATATTATTTAAAGTTTACAAAAATAAAATAGACTTACTTGTTTTCAAAAAATATTCTTCAACTGAGTCATGTTTCACAATACTGAGTCGGTTATAAATAAAAATGTTGACACACGCAGTAAATAATCTTTTTATTTGAATTGACTATTATTTTTTTTTTATAACAGAGATGAAAAAAGTAAAGGAAGAAAAAGAAAAATGTGTCCCTTATATTCTATCGAGTGGTTAGGACGAAAAATATGATGAAGAGAATTGTAAAAAATATAAAAGGTACACGTAAAAAGTACGGTCTTTTTTGCATGACTAATACGTCAGTTTGCACACAGCGGTAACTAAGGTATGTATGTTTTTTCTTCTTTCCTTTTCTTCAGTTTTTTTTCAAATCTGCTACTCTTATGCGATGATAAATATATGCGTCAGGCAGAGTTAAACTTAATTTTAAAGTAATTTTATGATCGTATAAATTTTAAAAAAGTTTTCAAAAATAATTTACTTGTTATTATTATTTTAAATTTTCGAAAATTGTACTGTTCGTAAGTTGTATTCAGTAGAAAATGAATACAATTTGTAGAAGCTGTAGAGTTCGCAACTAGTTATCAATAGAAAATGAATATAAATTTAGAAAGATGTAGAGTTCGTCAGTTGTATTCAATAAAAAATAAAATAAAATTTTGGAAGATGTAAAGTGCGATAGATGTATAAAACAAAATATAACGAAAACTGTTTTAAAGAAGATAATAAAGTTTTTTTCATGAATGAGGTGGGTAGAATGATTATTTTTATCTCACTGAGCAAGTTTCATTATTTCAGATCGTGAGAATATCATGTCTACTCAATAAAAATATTTTAAAATAAGTTTGTCTTAACCCTTAAAAGGCGAAGGGAGTTCCCGTGAAGTTTAGGTAGAATTAATTACATAAATAGAGATTTTGGGCCTTCAATATGCACTTACCGTGGTTAGAACTGCTGGTTGTGACCAAAAAGTTTTTCCACCCAGATGGCCTGGGTGGAGTATGACCTCCATAATTTTTTGTGCGCTTGAGTTTCTAATATGGTTCAGAATCACTGTCAGTTCATTCTGATGATATTTTAACATATCTCCAATTATGTACTGAGCGAAAAATTCACAATAATCGTGATTACTATGCCCAAAAATGCCATTAAAATGGTACTTTTTTTATAACGTCAGAATGCCTTAGTAGAAGAGTTAAAAGCGTGCAAAGTTGTTCTAAACTATAGTTTAGGGTTATTTCTAATGATATCACTCAGAATCTATATTGTATATATCAGGATATATCAATATCCGAGTAACCAATTTTGTTTGAAAAATTATACATTCTAAGAGCTAGGTCTGGGCGTTTGACAACTGTTTTAGCATAATGTTGTTCCATCATACTTTCACTATGACTGTCTTCGTCCCTAAAAACAGTAGCTTTTGCAGAAAAGACTTTATTCCTTCGTTCTATAGCGTTTAAGGCAATGTCCATTGAAAGGGACATACGGCTTCTAAGGGTTAATGTTATTGTGAACTTTTATAGGAACAATTTCAAAAATATTTATGAAAATAACATAGATTTCAAGTGAAATATATTAAAATATAAATATCTAAGATATATTTTTTACAAATTAAATTTTTCTTTTTAAATAAAACTAAGATTATTCTATTACATTCATTATGAAATAAATCAATATTAGAAGATAAGAAAATGAAGAATAGTTAAAATAGAGCTTGAAAAAATCCATTTAAATATCATAGTGTTAATTATGTATATTTATCATTGACAAATTATGAAGGCAATTTTTTGTAGAAAGGAGAAATATTTTTGAGGGTATGGATATAGATGTGAATATTAAGTTAATCACCCACACCCATTAAAATCAGATTATATAGAAAAATCCAAAATAATCGATTCAAAATCAAATCGTTTACTTATGATTCCATGTTTAATCCACTACAATCAGGTTATTCGGATAATCCAAAATAGTAGATTAAAAATCAAATCAATGCATGTAAGTGCGGGTGTGTTTGGCAGATTAATATATCGCCCTAGTCGAACGTCTTGTAAGTAAGATCTAGAAATCTTGGAATTCGTAAGTAAGATCTTAGCAAGATCTTAAAAAGATAATTTCTTTTTTTTTAGAAAGCATATCTTGATCACATCTTATATGTCTGTAACACAGATCTTATCAAGATCTTTACTCAAGATATCAAAACTGTCAGAAGAGTGGAAAAAAGTTAAACTGTAATTATCTTGCATCAAGATCTTGAATAAACTAAAGCGACATTATTAATAGAAAAAAATAATTCAGATATTTGAACTATTTTATTAAAAATATTCATAAATCATAAAAGAACAGAAAAAATAAAATAAAAAAAGCTTTTTTACAGTCTTCATATTCATATATATGAACCAATAAAAACAAAGAATGAACACAAAGATAATAAACGTTATAAGGGCCAAGTCTTTATCTCATATAAGCATGAAAAATCTTAATTAAATAATTATGCATCGATTAATGATGATATGTTGATTCTTCTTAAATATATTAATCATAATTTTTTCGACGAACGAAATACTTTGCAATTCATAAAATGAAATTTTTTTATTTCAACGATGTGAATGAAGAGACTTAAATTAGAAATTTTTATGAAATAATTTTCTAATAATTATATTTGTTTTTTAGAAATTTACTGACGTTTACTTGCATCAGTTTTAATACCAGAACAAATGATCAATTCGATTAACATGTAGATTATCAATCTATGCTAATATATCGAATTGTTAAAATAAACTACGCATTTTTAGATATGTATGTCATTTGTTTTAAAATAATTAGTTACTGTTGTTTATACGTTTTAGTTTGGTTTTGTTCCTGCAAATTATTAATTTCAGATATGAACAATAAATTTTGTTTAAAAAGTACGACTCAACGAACAAGAGAATGTATGCGCTAATACCGGTTGGCACGCAATGAAAGTGAAGTATTTAGGATGCTTCGGAATAATTAACACAAAGACGAAGATAATGATTTCATAGGCACCTCTAATTCATTGTATCCAGTAGCTAGCGATATTTCAGATAACGATGTCGTTGTTAATATTGATCAAGCCGTTTCATCGTCATCATCATCGTCTGATGCTGAATTATATGATGAAGCGGATTCAAAATTATTTTTATTATTTTTTATCTTGTATTTTGTGTACTTCTGAATGGTTTGTGTTCATACAGATTATTGTGAATTAAAAAGACTTGTTATGGTGTTTATATTTTATTATATATTTTTTTCTAAAGGTTGTAATTGTATTTGATGTTCACGTGTGTTATTGTATGTTCATGTAGGTCTTAAATTTAAATATATTAATACAAGATCCGAAAATCTTGCAGAGG